TTGACGGGCGGTGATGGTTTTATAAAAATCCGCCCCGACAAGCCCCGCAACCCGCGTTTAGAGAACCCTAGCCCCCCCTTCCCACTTCAATTCGCGAAAAATCCTCTTCCTCTGATAAACCAATCTCCAAGCCCGACCCTTCCCCTTCTGCCTTCTCCTCAAATCTCGCAGTTTTCTCTTCGATTGTAGAGAAAAACGGCAATAATCCCTACATTGATTGCTCAAAAGATCAGATACCCAATCATTCTGTTGTAACCCCATCGATTTTTTCGAATCGAGCCTTTCCCGATGGCGATTACAGCTGCACTTGCCCTTAATCGACTCTTTCTCTTCGTCTTGAGCTTTATCTTCTGCTTCTTCTTCATGCATGCCTGTATAAATAGTCTACTTGATTGTTTTTGCAATTTTCATCACAGATTCACAGAACGCAAAGTCGCAAACCACTCTCGAAGCTTGTAGCTGCGTGTGATCCCTGTTGAGAATTCCAGTCACTGGAACTGCAAGGAGCACAACTGCACAAGCCGTAAGTCTTCTTGTAGCCTTACTCTGTGGATTTGGTTCTTTCTAACTCATCCCATGTTTAACTCATCCCTTGTTTCGTGGTTTCTGTAGAGTTGCAGGGTTACTGACTGCCCTGTTTCATTGATCATTAGCTAATCACGAAGGTAATTTAGTTGATTCTACAGTCTGGAGTCTTATTAGTACTAGTCATTAGTTTTTAGTTTCAGTTTATTTAACCTTAATTGTTTTCTTTTTCCTGATTAATGAACAGGTGAGGCAATGGAAGGTGTTGAATTGAGCAACTCTCCCAACTCTCAATCCACACCCCCACTCATCAACCCTGAACCCGAGCAGCAGCAACCATTGATTGCTGGTGATGCACCAGCAACTGCTATGAATGATGGTAATGTAGTGACTGCTGCTGGTGATGCACCAGTCAATGATGGTGAGCCTTCTCCGCTTCCATTTGGGGCCAAACGTCCATTAAAAAGCGATGTTTGGCCTCACTTTACTAGGTTTGTTGATAAGTCTGGTGTGATGAAAGCTAAGTACAAATACTGTCGTAAGATTCTTGGTGGTGATACTAGCAATGGTACCTCTCATTTGAGGAATCATAAAAAAGTATGTGTTCAAAAACAGATTCATGATGGCCATCAGAAAAATATTGCCACTAATTTCCTTCCAAATGGTGTTCTTGGGAGGAAAGAAATATGTACTGGTCAGTTTAATGCAGAGGTTTCTAGGAAGGAACTTGTTACTATGATTTTGATGCATGAGTATCCACTCAGTATGGTGGATCACTTGTACTTCAAAATATTTTGCAATTCTCTGCAACCCTTGTTCAAAGTTCCTTGTAGAAACACTTGTAAGAGTGACATTCTTGCTATGTATGGGATTGAGAGGAAAAAGATGCAAAAGTTGATTGATGGTAACAAAGGTCGAATTGCTGTCACCACTGACATGTGGACAGCAGGTAATCAAAAGAGAGCATACATGGCTGTAACTGCTCATTATGTTGACAATCAGTGGAACCTAAGGAGCCACTTGCTAAGGTATATGACATATTTGGCTGTTTGAATCTTTCATTTTTTTCTGTTTAACAATAATCACTAACTAATGAATGGTTCTGCCTCTTGTTTGATGTTGTGTATCACAGGTTTCTCTACGTTCCTGCTCCTCATACTAGTGAGAAATTAGCAAGTGTGCTTCGAGAGGCCCTCATGTCCTGGAATGTGGATTGTAAGTTATCCACTATCACTCTTGATAATTGTTCTACAAATGATGCCATGATTGATAAGATTAAGAGAAAGATGGTTCTTTCTGACTTCATAATGAATGGTTCATTGCTACAAATGAGATGCTCTGCTCATATTCTCAACTTAATTGTGAAAGATGGGCTTGAAATTATCAAAGATGAGATTGAAAAGATTAGTGAAAGTGTGGTATATTGGACTGCAACTCCAAGGAGAGTTGAGTTCTTTGATGAGACTGCTAAGCAAAAAGATGTTGGTATTTCTACCAAACTTGCACTAGACTGCCCTACTAGGTGGAATTCCACACTCACTATGCTTGAATCTGCAATTCCTTACAAGGATGTGTTCACTCGTTTGAGTCAGAGAGAACCTAATTATACTTCTGTGCCTAGCAGTGATGATTGGAAGTTCGCCACTGTGATCTCTAAAAAACTGGAAGTTTTCAAAAAACTTTCGGATCTGTTTTCTGGAAGCAATTATCCTACTGCTAATTTGTTCTTTCCTAAGATCTGTGACTTGAAATTCGAACTGAATGAGTGGAGATATGGTCCTGATGAGATCATTGGTGCAATGGCTGAAAAAATGTGGATCAAGTTCAGCAAATACTGGACTGATATTCATGTGTTGCTTACTGTGGCTGTTGTGCTTGATCCTGCATACAAGCTTGAGTTGATTGGGTACTATTATGAAAAGTTTCAAAGCCTTGATCCTACTCTTGACCCTGCCACTGTTAAGACCACTGTTTATAATGTGGTGCGTGAGTATCAGTTGAAACAGAGGGTTAGGGATGATCTTTCTGCCTCCTCTGGTTCTGGAAATGGTCTTGCTGTGCCTACCTCTAGTGACCTTGGCTTTGAGCTTTATCTAAGCCGAAGGAAAAGGTCTAAAACAACTTCACTGTGCTCTGAATTGGACCATTATCTGAGTGAGGGTGTCAGTCCTCGAGCTCCTAATGTTGGTGTTTTGGATTGGTGGAGGGTGAATGCTGGTAAATACCCTCTGTTGCAAGAGGTAGCAAGAGATTTGCTTGCTGTACCAGTGACCTCTGTGGCCTCAGAATCAGCCTTCAGCTCCGGTGGTAGGCTACTAGATCCTCATCGGAGTAGGCTGCACTTTGAAACTGTTGAGGCAATCATGTGCAACCGTACCTGGATTAAGGATGATATTAGCAAAGGTAAGGTGTTTATTTAATTGTTTCCAGCTCTATTTGTGGTTTAATGTGAAATTAACAGTCTCAATTCTCCATTCTTTTGTCTGCAGATGCTGGAAAGGAGGGGATTAATGGATTGGATAGCTGTTTTTCTGCATTGACAATGGAGGATCCCAGTTGTGAAGACTTTAAGAAAGGAGGTTAGTGAATACTGAACAATTAGTTAGTAATTTCAATTTCAAAGATGGTGAATACTGAACAAATTTGTATGTGGTCACAGATTTTCAAGATCGTGCACTCCTGGACTTTGATGCTTGAAGATCAAGCATGTGACTGCTGCTGCTGCTAAGTGCTTGTTGTTGCTGCTGCTGCTGGAGAGACTTGCTGCTGTTGCCTGCTGGAGAGTTGAGACTGGAGAGTTGGCTTTGCTGTTGCTGCCTGCTACAGCTAGAGAGTTGCTGCTGCCTACTGCTGGAGAGTTGCTTTTGTTTAATGTTGAGCTTGATGGCTCATTTTATTTAAGTTTGCCTTGCTGCACTTTGGTGGATTTGTGATTTGCTAGTTGCTACTCTGTTTTATTGCTTGGATAGTTGGATTGAAGTTTATGAACCTGTGACTATGAATTGGATGCCTTGATCCTTTTGGATTTGTTTAGACAGTTCGGATTTTGGAAATTAGAGTTGGAGTGCCATTTGATTTTTCTCTAAGAATTTCCAGGTTGCATCCTTTGAATTCTGTTTGTTTTGTTTTGTTTTTTTTTTTTTTCCAGGCTGACAATGGTAGCGGGTTTACCCGATAAACCCGATTGGTGCCCGCTACCCGATGGATTCGGGGTTGGGCCTGAAAATGAGCCGGCAAGGCTAGTGGGGCGGATTCGGGGAAAGCCCGATAGGCTTTCGGGCGGGTGGCGGATAGCCCTTCCCCGGCCCCGATCCGACCCGTTGCCAAGCCTAAGAGCAACCTGTTAGTTACGGTAAAATAAAAGTTCAGTGACCAATCTGTTAGTAAATCATAAGTTAAGTGACTCCTAATGTGATTAACCCTGTAACCTTAATGACCTAAATCCCAAAGTGTTGGTAAAATTTTCCCGGTAAGTTTCCCCTCGCAATTGCTTCTTGCGATAGTGTGATCGACAGTTGCGTATACCCGCCATTTCGTCGATCCAAATTGACTCGATTCTTATGCGCTGCGAGGATTGATTTGGTCCAGCGAATCATTACTCCATTTCGGCATTCTTTGTACGATGACAGGAAACATGTTGGTGTTGGCGCCGGCGGGGGGTCGGAAAGCGATGCGAGCATTTGCGGGAGAGTTGCTGTCTGCTGGATTGGACCATATTCAGCAAATACGAATAGCCGATGGGGGTTTTGGAAATCGTTTGGGGATGGATGATATCCATATAATTACTGCAGCTTCGGGATAAGTTCAAAGATGGAAGGCGTTCTCAGTCAAGAAACATGGTGCATGCAAAGTGTTTGTTCTAATGTCACAATGAGGTCTACCCGCAAACAAAAAGCAGAGCCATAAGGAGAAGGAAGCTGGAACAGCAGGGCAGAGTCATTGACATCAGATCCCAGCAGATAAGGTATCTCTTCCCTCCGGCTGTGTTCTTTTTCTTCTTTTCCTTCCATCCTTGGTTCTGTCTTCCATCTGGGTATGTTACTGCTCATGTCAACCTGGCTTTTCCCTCTTTTATTCCCTTGTTGTGGGTTTGTTACCGTCACCTGATAAAATAAAATTGCAACATTTCTAGACCAGAAGTCAATGGCTTGCCTTCTCACCTAAACATTAATTAATCGGGAACACACTACCAGTTTTGGACAAAGTAGATGCTCAAATCAGGGATTGGAGGGTATATCGCTGCTCTGCATTGTCTGCAGGCTCTTAAGTCAATGTATCTGCATTTATTAGTTAATAGAAAAAGGCAAGTTTTCATATTGGATCTTGCTGAAGTGATGTGCTCACATTCTATATCTTCACGCAGATCCACATCTCTAACTTCAGAAACTTCATTTCCCTAGCACCTGTCCATTGAGTAGTCACTTGCAACCACACTGCCTTTTCTTTTTAGTTGCTCTTTCTCACCTAAACCAAAAATGGCAGCTGCTCTTGCTGGGTTCGTCCTGAAGCAGTTGGCTTCCCTAGCAGTTGATAAGGCAAGTCTGCTTTGGAACCTCAAAAGCGACATTCTGAAGCTGCAAAACACAGTTTCCAGCATCCAAGCCGTGCTGCTGGATGCAGAGGGGCAGTCTGGTAAGAATCATCAGGTCCAGCTATGGCTGCAAAGACTCGAAGCAGTCCTTTATGATGCTGAAGACTTGTTGGACGACTTCTCCACAGAGGTTCTCCGGAGGAAACAAATGGATGGCAATGTCGTTGCGAATGAGGTATCCCTCTTCTGTTCTGAATCCAACCAAGTTGCTTATGGACTGGAAATAGCTAATCAGATTAAGCTTATTCAGAGCAAGCTAGAGGAGATTGATCAGGACAGGAATCAGTTTTATTTCCAGACATTTCCTGTCTCGGATGACAAGGAGTGGAGGGAAACTTACTCCTCTATCCCTGATGTGGTTGTTGGGAGAGAAGAAGATAAGCGAAAAATAATAGACATGCTGCTGCTGTCTGGTTATAAGGAGAAAGTTGTTGTCGTCCCAATAATTGGGATTGGGGGATTGGGGAAAACTACATTGGCGCAACTCATTTACAACGATGACATAATCAAAACTCATTTTGTTTGTAAAGTTTGGGTGTGCGTAGCTGAGAATTTTGATCCAAAACTCCTTGTTAAAAGGATTTTGGAGTCAATAACCAAGAAAAAGGTGGGAGATCTTGCCTTGGACACGCTCAAGGATCTTCTTCATGAGCAAATCAAGAACAAACATATATTGCTGGTCTTGGATGATGTCTGGAATGATGATAGGGGAAAGTGGGATCGCTTCAAGAATCTATTTGCAAGTAGTGCGGCCGAAGGTATCAGAATAATGGTTACCACCCGTAGTCTTAACATCGCGAAGCTGACAGCGACCAAGCTGATTGTGCCGCATGAGTTGCAAGGTTTGTCTGAGCACGAGTCTTTGTCGTTGTTCAAAAAGATGGCTTTTGGGGAAGGAGTAGAGCCAAGTCAAAGATATGTGGAGATAGGGAAAAAGATTTTGAGGAAATGTTATGGAGTGCCGTTAGTCGTAAGAACAATGGGCGGTCTATTATCTTCCAAGGAGACTGAGTCCGAGTGGAAGGCAATAAGCGAGGAGCAACTGTTGAGCCTTGGTAGAGAGGATAGTGACATTTTGGCTACTCTTAAGTTGAGTTATGATAATTTGCCTTCCAATTTGAAACGATGTTTCGCCTACTCCAGCTTGTTCCCAAAAGACTATAAAATTGATGTGAAAACGTTGGTGCAACTGTGGATGGCCCAAGGGTATATCACCAAGTCCAGTCAATCTTCACTCCTTGAAGATGTTGGAGTTGAATATTTTAAGAATCTGTTGTGGAGGTCCTTCTTTCAAGAGGTGACAAAGGATGATGATGGAAATATGGAGTCCTGTAAGATGCATGATTTAATGCATGATCTTGCTGTCGCAGTTGCAGGGGAGGAGATCAAATGCTTGAGTGTAGATAGCACTGGTAGTGGTAGCCTTCTTAATGTTGGTGATGTCAATCTTGAAAGGATACGGCACATATCAATCGATTTACAGGATAGAAATAGATGGTGGTCTGATATTGCATGGGAAGCACCGGCTCTTTTAGCTAAAGCAACAAGGCTTCGAACATTACTTATCTTAAAGAATTGTAGCAGAGGTGCTGAGTTGGACAGAAGCTGTGGGAGGATCTTTTCGGAGATGACTAGGCTGAGAGTGTTTGGTCTCGGAGGTGCTAAAATCGAGATTTCCTCTTTTGTCTTCTATAAACTGAAACATCTTAGATACCTTGATCTTTCTAGCAATGAGATGGAGACACTCCCGAACGAAATGACAAGGTTGGTAAATTTGCAAGTGCTCGACCTGAATTTCTGTCAAAGGCTTTGGTTACTGCCGGTAGGCTTAGGGAAGCTGTCCAACCTTGTGTATCTTGACCTATATGGTTGTTCGGATTTGAGTTGCATACCAGCTGGGATCGAGAACCTTTCCTTACTCAGAGAATTCCCTTTCTTTATATTGGCAAAAGCAGCCGCAGACAGCTCAAGAGAAACTGCTGCTTGTCTGGGCGAATTGAAGAGTTTGGACAACCTAAATGGGAGGTTGGTTATTACAAATCTGGAATGGGTGAAGGATAAATCTGATGCAGAGGCAGCCAATTTAAAGGAGAAATCACAACTTCGAACCTTGGAACTATTTTGGAGTCCTGCCAATAATTATAATATGGCGGCTAGAAGAGGATGTGATCACGAGAGGTCAATACTGGAGGGGTTACAACCACATCCGAATTTAAAGCGGATACTAATGCAATTCTATGGCGGGTCGAGCATTCCCACAACAAGCGGCTGGTTCTCTTCTCTCAGGAATCTGGTTGAGATCGGGCTATTTTACTGTGGGAAACTGCAGAGTCTGCCATCGTTGGCTCCTTTAGTGTTTCTTCAAGCATTGAAGTTATATGGATTAGATAGCTTAGAGCACGTACAAAGCGAGACAGTAGCATCATCATCCCCTTCTTCAAACAATGATTTGCAGTTTCTCCCTTCTCTGGAGTCTTTATCTATCGAGGAGTGTCGAAACCTGATAGGTTGGTCTGCCAGAGATACAGAAGACAAGTCGCCCCCGTTACCTCGGGTTTCCACCTTGAAGATTGGTGGCTGCCCGAAAATGGTATCTGTCCCGCGCTTTCTGGTCAACTTTGACGAGGTTGAGTTGAAGGATGTGAGCAGTGAGCTGTTGGGTGCGTTCGGTGCCTCGCTGGTTTCTCCCTCGGCGCACCCTCGATTTGAGCAGTTGTCTCTCGAGTGCGCGAAAGATTTCCCACAAGGGTCGACGCTAAATCTTACTTCCCTTGTGATGCTATGCATATCACATTGCGATGACATGACTACTCTGTCTCCATCTATTCTTCGACATCTCTCTTCCCTCCAGGAGCTTCAGATTCAGTACTGTAAAATTTTGGAACTAGAGGATGGGGATGGGGATGATATGTCGCCGCAGCAGGTTCTTCCAAGCCTCCGTATCTTAACGGTCAGAAAAGTTCCTAAATTGGTTGCTCTACCGAAGTGGTTTCAGCACTCCTCAAATTTGCAGCAGCTGGAGTTATACGGCTGTGACAACCTTAAGTTCTTACCAAATTGGCTCACAGAGCTCACTGCCTTGGAGACTTTGACCCTACCATATCATGGTTATATATCTTCGAGATGCAGAAACAGCACCGGCGAGGACTGGCCCAACATTTCTCACATCCCAAATATCGAAGTTGATGGTAAATATGTTCAACAGGGCGGACGCTATCTGGGAACTTTCGAAGAAGAAGAAGAAGATAGCGAGGAAGGAGGAGATATTGGAGGGGAAGAAGTAGAAGCAGAACAACAACAACAACAACAAGAAGGAGCATCCTGGCACATCCAAATCTCAAGGTATTTTACTTTCACTAGTTAGGTTGTCATGATGAATGCAGCCATCCCTTTTCTCTAATTTACCTTGTTCTTCGGAAGCATAGAATGCTTGATTATAAACTGCTTTTCTTTTTTGTAAAAAAAAACCTGCAGGTTGTCAGAGAATTGCTTTGCAAGGATTACTTGCAACCTATTCGAGAAATGTTTTCTCCCTTAGCTACCTGACCTCTACATTGCCACTCCGACTATCTGTGTTCCCTTAAACTGATGGATTGAAGAAAGGTACTCATTTCTCCTTGCACTCCTTACAATCACTCGCTACGCGTATGAAATGCTTGGCTCTTTGATTCCTGTAACTCCTTAACATTTGATATCCATTTTTCATGATATTATGCATGGATCAGATATATCATGGCGAATTCTTCAGAAAAAAAATTGCGGATTGATCGAGAAAGATCTCTTGTTCTTATTATAAGATCCAAACGCACGAGCGCCGACCTCGATAAGGCAAGGTCTCCTTCATGCAGCCCAAGCCTGAAGAGGGTAGGCATCAAGGAGGGGGTGCCATATGCTGTCTATTTTTTATTTGAGTTTCCAATTATTTTCTTTTTTCACTCACGGATACTGGAACGCCATTGGTTTCTACTACGGAAAGTCATTTCGTGAAGTAAACATTCTAAATATTGTGCTTGGGAAAGTCATTTCGAATGAGCCTCGTAATCGTAAGAAAGTACTGGCCCAGATGCTCATTCAAAGTGTTCATACGCCAACTGGGTGGTGCGCTCCTGATAGTAATCTACCAGTTGTCAATTGCTGCAACTGATGCTTGCCCAGCAACCTTCTCTGATAAATATTTGGCCAGTGAGTGAGTTTTGGGCTCTTCTTCTCTTTGGGCTGGTGCGGTGGTTTAGTCCAAAGAACACAACCACCACCAACCGCCATATTTAGTAAGAGATTATTAACCTACCATAACTAATACAAATCATATTGTTCTTCAATGATTCGTATACAACCTACTCAAACAAGCATTTATGTGCAGATTTAGGGTTACAGTTGAAACAATAGTTGGCTCATTCCGTTAGTAGTTTACCCGCAAGCAAAGGGAAGAGTGGCGGGTCAGATTATATAGCATGATTAATTAGCATAAGCACCAGATTAACCCAAATCATTGGAACAAGATAATGGAGATAAGTTTATAATTAGAAACAGAATCATTTTATCCTACACTTTGTCCTCAAGCTCTGTCTTGTCCAAGAGGAAAACGTTAGTTACTATTAACTTCCTCCGTTTGTAGTTAGTTAGTTAGTGGTTGTTGACTTGCTGTCATTGTAAACACATAATTCAGTTAAGGTGGTTTTAGAGGTTCTTGTGTGTACGTGCTTCCGATGTTGGGTCGGACCTAGAAATTTCATTAAAGGTATTAGAAGATAGATCAAAATTTCTAAAGATTGTCTAATAATTTCCAATCTAAATACTATCATCACTAATATAAAACTTTACGCAAGTTTTATGTTCAAGTTTTGAATTTAAGATTTCTCATTGACAATCCATTCTTCTAAGTGGGTCCGCCCCTGGTTGGGTCACTTAATAATAATTAATATAAATTATTACTATTGCATGTATTCAATAGTTGTAAAATACGGTTTCATAAAAAGTATAATTGTAAAATACGAGATACACAATTAAATAACGTAAACATGTACCAAAAACCCCCTATCGGATTTGCTTGGAAAATAAATATTTTACTCGGAATGCAATCAGTAACAATCATGCTGCATGGCAACTTGGTGAAATATCTTCATCCATAATGTTGTTTAAAAATATGAAATGATTTTTTATTCTTTGGTTAGCAATTTTTTTTAAATTTTGATAAGTCACATCCCAAAGATTATAGAATACTAGCTAGGTAAGCTGCCCTGACATAAACATAATTTTGTATGTTTTAAAGCCAAGGAGGAATTGATATTTAGTTTGTTATGGCAGTATAACAACAAATTGGTACTGGATATTCCATTAATTGATGATGAAATATTCTCTGAAGAAATGTGTAGCCCCAGGGTTCCATGCACATATTACAAATGTTCTAGTAAAGATTAGATAGCTACCAAAACTTGTTCAAGGCAATGAACTTCTCTATGTTTTTTCTTCTTTGACGGACTCAGAAATTTCATTAAGGGTACTATTCAAGGATAAATTTATAAAAATAAAAATAAAGTGCACAGATTCATAAATTTTCAAAGCGAGCCACAACATGTTTTCATATTTATATAAGTTTCTAAAATACATTCATCACTTATGCAGTGACTCACACCTTTCTTAATGAGTGTAACCAAGCAATCATGCATTCATAACAGGTCTCACATATGATTATGACGATCGTTCTTGATAAATTTCATGGTTGAAAAGACCCTTTAAATTCTTACAATTGCAAAAGATAAAAATTCAACTCTAATTTAATAAATAAGAAAATTAAAAATAATAATGAACTTTTCCCGTCTCTACCATTGACCTAGCTAGGTTATTGATTCTCCACAATCCTTTGAAGGCCTCATGCATACGGGCGTACCCTTAATAGATTTATAAATTAATTTAGGTTCTAGAAATGAAATCAATAATAAATACATTTGTTTTGTATTTTTATGACAACAATTGGATTGTTTGTAGCTTACCTGAAACATTCGGTTTAAAATTGTAAGGGTTGTCAAATGGTTTAGGGTTGAAATACAACAACCAATGCCAATATAAATTTCATCAAAGTACATGGTCCCAAATTTATATTTAAGGTTTGTCAAGTGACCACCCTACAATTTGAATGGGTCTGCCCCTGTATAGGAGAGTAGGATGGTAACCATTGATCTTTTGCCTCTTCTGTTCTGGGACGTATTATCGGATTGACTGATAACTAATATAAGATGAAACATGTTATGAATTTGTTGTCTGATGATTCATCATATTCTTGTCATACATACACAGTTAAGCTTCCTTTTAAATTTTACTCATACTTATTATAATCAAATCATTTTGTAACTCTAATGTAGTTATAATTGTGTGTGATACTCTATATTCCGAACAATTTAACATTTTACTCATGTTATCCTTCTCTCTATTTAATTATTTCAAAAAAAATTCTGAAAAGAACCAATCATTACATGCGTCTTTATACTAAAAATTCTATGTCAAGATCGATGGATCTATTCCGACTCATACCAATTTATCTGACCTAGATCTCCATGTGGGGTTGGATATGGATTGGAGCTAGATTGGCAAACATAATTCTAAGGAACGTTTGCTTTTTCCAAATCCCAAGATGTATAAAATTGAAAGGGGTAAATGACACATTTGGTCACTGAGATTACTAAATCGTGTCATATTTGGTCACTAGAAAAATTTAATATCAATTTTGGTCACTCGAATTACTGACACAGGTCACATTTGGTCACTCTTCTGTAGCCTCTGTCTAACTCCGGTCACTCGAATTATTGAAAAATGTCACATTTAGTCACTCTGATTACTGAAACATGTCACATTTAGTCACTCTCCCAAAAGTTTTCGTCCAACTACATTAATGGAGTTGGACGGAAACTAACGGGAGAGTGACTAAATTTGATCAGTTTCGGTAATTCGAGTGACCAAAATTGATATTAATTTTTTCTAGTGACTATACATGACACAATTTAGTAATCTCAGTGACCAAATGTGTCATTTACCCAAATTGAAAGGGTGGCAAAGACACAAAGGGCAAGATTGTACCACTCGTTACTTGAGAAATATGCGTGTAATTAAGGAATAACTATGCACCAAGTATCACAGCTTATCTCTAAACATATTAATTAACCAATAATCTTCAACTTGAATCACCATTTACACTTTTCTATAATCTATGGAGTCTTGGAAAATCCTTCATTAGGAAAGTTAGATAACATCCCTTTAACTGCAAAAAGAAGAGAAGTAGATGAAATGCCACTTCAAGATCTACCATTATTTATCATAAAAAATAACTAGAATGCCAAATTTTAATTGGTATGTAGGGTTACCCTTTAATTGTTCTCTAAAAAAATTATTTTGATGACAAAGTATCAACTATAGATACCAAAAGGCATATACCAAGATCATGAGATAATAATCCTTTTTATAAGAAACATGACGCAAGAATGCTCAATCTATTATATTAATAATAATAATAATTAAGTGGGTCTCCGAAATCTAGCGATAATAATAGGACGGGCGACTACCTCAATGTCTATTTTTGTCCCGCACTAAACACGAGTCGGGTAAGGTAATGCCTGTGTGGATACAGGTCAGGGTGAGTCAACTCATTTTCATATGTTATTTGAAAAAAGAACGTCGATATTTAACTCTTTTACAAGAACACATAGATAAAACACTTCATAAATGAATGATAAATATGGTAGAAGATATACTTGAGTCTAAGTGGTTGAAAGATAAAATCTTAAAATTTCTTTGGGACAAAAACATATAATTTTATAATGGTTAAAATAGAAGAATACATGTACATATTGATGCAAATTATGATAGAACGAGCAAAATGGTGACAGGGCAGGAAAAATCAATACTCATACCCTATTTCCCATTACTGCAAGTCGGTAATACTCACTCCAAATAGGTCGGACTAAACAGGTAGTGAGAGTTATGTGAGAAATTGTCATGAGATCCCATAAACATCCATCATCTAAGAGTCAATAAATTAAACAAGAATCCGCAAAATACTAATATTGTGATAATCAAACGTGAATTACGGTCCTAGTGAACGAACTAGCTACACTCTAAACTTGTTTTCTCCGAGAATAACATAAATGAGACTCACATACTTCTCAATCTAACGACTAGATCACCTAGAACTTACTATACTCTCGAAATATACCAGTCATATATATATGAGATAAGTTTTTTTAATTTGACATTGTCAATGATATTCATGGTAATCAATACTGATTAGTGGTAGACACGTAGATGGTGAGGCTGGGCCAAGTCATCACCATAGATATTTGGAGGCTGATTTTGACTTTAAATATCGACCACAGACACCATAGAATATATATGCGTGTCACCTTCTTGACCCACACGAATTAGCATTATTTAATCATGTGCTTTGCTTTCATTTTCAGATTACATATTAATTAGGACAGTTGATTACCAGATCGGCTAATCTTACTGGCAAGAAAGAAAAAACAACTAAACAACAAGCCGACTAATTAATCCCTTTCACCTTCTAAACCAAATAAAAACAGATACACACACTAGCCTTTGTCTGATAGACGTTTTAATAATTTGGGGTTTATGTCGGTTTGAATTATTCAGTTCGGGATTATTTTGGTTATTGGAAATATTTTGGGGGATTAATAAGTTGGGGTAGTAAGTAGGTAATTGTGTTTTGGGTATTTAGACTATTGTTTACGTAGGAAAGGGTAAGCAAGAATTAAACCTAAAATTCCCTCTATCTCTCTTCCCTTTCTCTCTGGCCGCCGAGCCTTTCCCTTTTCCCTACCCAAGCTGCCGATCGACAACACCTCTTCTCCCTCTCTTCTTCTCGTCCCAACCCCTCAAATCACTCTTCCCCAAATCCCGGATCAATCCCTAGTTGATCCCTAATCCCCAATCTCTCGATAGAGCCTAATCCGGAGCTCTATCATTGTCCCTCTCGCAAATGTGTATGCTCAACCTTATGACCAAACCTAGAGTGAGGTTTAAGGTGTTCATATGTGCCTTGGTTGGACTATAATAATTTCGAAAGAAGAAGATATGACTTCAATTAATAAATCATATCTCGATTCAAACCCTAATATTGTAACCTTCAGAT